GAATGATAAAGTCTTTACTGATGCGATTACTGATGCGACTGGTCAGGAGATATATCCACCCGACGATCAACCTCTGGGTATTGCTCATATGTATGCGGTAATCTAGTGAAATGGAGGAGTAAGAAGCAATCGGTGGTATCTTGGAGTAGTGCAGAAGCAGAATACAAAGCACTGACGCTTGGTATCTGTGAAGAAATGTGGATCAAAAGATTTCTCAAGGAGCCTAAAATTATGGGAGAAAATTTTATCAAGATGTTCTGTGACAATCAAGCTGCAATCAATATCACAAAGAATCCTGTTCATCATGATCGAACGAAACACATTGAGATTGATCGAAACTTCATTTCAGAGAAGGTGGATAATAGAATCATTAAATTGGTCTATACTCCTTCTAGAGACCAAACCGTAGACATTCTCATCAAGACTCTCCCTAAGTCCAGTTTTGATGAGCTAACCAACAAGTTGGGCATGTACAATCTGTACAACCCACCTTGAGGGGGAGTGTGGAATTACGCTCATTATTATTTACTTTAATTCTTTTTAGTACTTGCTATATTTAGTCATAGTATAAAAATGGTAATTCCTTAATTATAGGTATTTATGTTTATTTCATAATTATAGGAATTACTTAATTGTAGGAAGATTTCTTTCCTCTTTTTTATCTCTTGTACTCGCCTATTTATAGGTGAATTATCTATGTATTCAGTGAGAAAAAGGATTATTCAAAATTCACACTAACCATTACTATAAATTTGACTAGATAAGAATCCAACATAGAAGATCAACATAGAGCTTACATACTAACCTTATTTTAAAGTTTTCTTATGTGATTTAGAATGACAAGTATTCTTGAGGAGTTGTGGAAAACCATGCACATGGAATATTTAGAATTCTATGACAGTGAAATATATGAGTAGTGCTTGCTCTACACTCTAACACGCCTCTTGAAAAATTAACCTCGAATGACTCAAATATAATATAACTAAGTGGAGATATTTTGGGGCCCTAAAGCATGACAGCAAAAAAGCTCAATGCGGGCTCTCACATTTGAGCCTTAAGTTGAAGAACATTTTGCAACTAATTTTTAAGAAGTTCAATGAATTCAATTTACGAGTTAAAAAATTATGAAGGAGTGAATCACATGTAAGATTGTCATTTTTGCTTGTTCCTATTGAAAGCTTTTTAAGATCATCATAAAAAAATTATATATATTTATATGGCAAGAGGAAGATTATTTTTGTCAAAAAATGAAAGGAAAACGCTTGTGCCCATGACAAAAGCAATTTTCAAATTTTCTGTCCCCCAAGTTTTGATTGCTTTGTATTCTTAAAATACTTTTTGGATTAGTATGGTCTTTACTGGGTTACAGAAAGTGTAATTCGCATCTAGTATTCATGCTTTGAGGTAGTTGACATTATCAATATGAAAAAAAGATCTATGAAATCCAAGGAATAATAAAGCCTTTTGAAAGGCTTAGATCAGTTCAATGCCTCAAAAGGCTTAAAAAGATTTGCTGAGACAATTTGATTATTAAATAACAGTGATCAGCTTCAACTTGAACTTGATTACCAACCAAGAATATTCTTGTCTTGCGAGCTTCAACCAGCTTGATAAGGTCATGTTCATGTGGCTTGATTGTAAGCTACTGAGGGACCATCCGAAGAGTTCCTTCGATGACCGTTGTGAACTTGACCACCAACTTGTGGTTGCTCATAAGTGAGAGGGAGTGACAGTTAACACTTCTAAATGTGGAAGCTGAGGAACCCAAATCTATGTGTGTTTGGTTTTCCAATAAAGAAGTGATGCTAATCACGAACACACATGTTTGGATGCATGCATGCTTGTATGTTTAATGTACAACGACAATGACAACAAGAAGCCTTTATCCTACTAAGTGGGGTCGGCTACTTGAATCCATTTTTTCCATTATGTTCTATTGAGTGTCATTTTTTCATTTAATTTTTAATAAATTAAGATAATTTTTTATACAATATGCCCAATTCCTTTTAGGTCTACCTTTGCTTTTCGGAACATAAGTCAAATTTTAAGCATTTACTCTCCTAACCGGATCATCAAATGGTTGACGTTTAATGTGACCAAGCCATCTAAGACGACTAGACGACTCTCTTCTCTCTAATCTTGTCCGCCATTGGAGCTACCCCAACCCTATCACGGATATATTCATTTCACATTGTCTCCAAGTGTCAATCTACTTATCCACCTAAGCATTCTCATCTCGACAACGCACTTAACTCTGTTTTATGCTTCTCTTTTAATGGCCAACATTGTGCGGTATAGAGCATTGTATGTCTCGCCATGTATGTTTAATGTACAAATTCACACATACATGCATGCTATGTAAGTTTATAAATAGGAAACAGTTATAGAATATAATTTATATTATATGGTAATGTTATATCGTTTTTTAATAGATCATAAATATGACGAATAAAATTACATGTATGCATAATATTTAATATACATATTTTCATGCCTAAACGGGCATGTACATATAAAGTGCATAAGTATAGGTTTATAAAATTAAGAGAGTATTTAGTACATCACAATCGTATTATAATTCTTTCAAAAGAATTATACATTATGATAATTTCTATAAAACTTTTATTATACATAAGATATTATGATTATCAGAAATTAATAAATTCCCATCATGTAATGATGGGTTGTTTTAGCATAAATTAACATCTTATGCTTTTAATTATTAATAGTATGCATATTGTTTTAATGTATATTTATAATATAATATGCCTTGAGTTTATTCTTTATATTTATGTATGCTTATATATATGTGTATGTGTGTACACAAGTGACGTTTCAGTTCAAGGACAACAATAGTATCCGATTATTGACTTTTGGAAGTGCTACTTGGGGGCACATGACTCTAAAGAGAATTATTTATGAGTTGCACTACTCACTTTTTAGAGAAGAAGTCACTGCCTACTATCCCGGCTAATGCAGCTAAATTGTTCCACTTCCTTCCAATTCTTCATAGTTATAATCAAACACATTCTGATTTAATTTAACGATACAAAAATTCAGAAAAATGAATTTTAATGAAATTTGAAAGTAATGATAAAGCTTGTTGGCAAAATCCAGCATACTTAAATGCATGACCTAGGACTCAAAGATATAGGATCTCATGTCTTGCGACATACCTTGTGATTCACAATTTTCTCAAAAATCAAAATCATATGACATTCAATGCAGAACCTTCATGCCATTAAAAGAGAATCTATCAGTCTCAAGTATCTAGATTATTTGTCATTATCAAAGCAATATGGTCCTCTGACCCATTTTATTCCTTGTTATTTTATCATTTTGATTATTATGCATATATTCTTATATTTGATCAAAGACACTTAAAATGACTTTATATTTGTATTTTAACAAGAAATTGAAATTTTTTTATTCAAACATTATGTAGGTACACATTCAGATCATAGATCTACATTGGAAGTTCCTATCTTCTGGTTCATTCACAATGATCCAGTGTTGGTAGATAAACATTATCAAGCAAGGGCACTTTCTGACATGGTCATTGTTGTTCAGTCAGATAAAGCAGTATGGGAGAGCCACTTGCAATGCAATGGGAAATCAATTGCTTGGGATTTAAGGTTAGCATTTAGTTTTTTTGCCTTTAAAAATCGATAAATTTTAGGTATTAATTTTTTCGTGCTAAGATTTCACTAAAAAGAATTTACATATTACAAAACCTTGAAGCAAAAGGCTAGAAGCATTAGGCTTTGCAATGCGTGTATTAAGAGTGCTAATTTAAGTTGATGGCTTGGGTTTATACCCAACGTGAAAATGATGTATTTGGGTTATGATATGTCCTAATATAAATCTCTTTAAGCATTACTATTATAAAAATTGTTAGTTGCAAAAAAAAAAAATAAATAAAATAAAAAATTTCAAATACCCTCAATATTAAATTATGGTGTGAAAATAATAAATTTTAAGTCTTTTTTGCATTCTTGAGGGGCTGTTTAGAATCAATTTTTATTTTTTGTTTTTTGTTTTTAAAAATAAAAAATTGGAAAAAAAAATAGTGTTTGCTTATCTATTTTTTTGTTATATTTCTATTTTTTATTTTTTTGGAGGAACAAATTTTTTTTAAAAAAATACTCAAAACAGAAAAAATGATTTTAAACATAAAACAACGAGTCGCGTGGCTCGCCGCCGCAAAACGTCCACTTCCTCTAGCCATCCACTG